TTTTGTCCCATTCTCAAACACAAAATGTATTCATCGCAGCTTGAATAGATTCCAAGCTATATTCAGGAATGTGGACATTATTATTTTTAAAGCGGTCCATAAAATCAGATTTGACTTCTTTGGTGAAAAGCTTCGCGATACCCAATGCCGGTCAAATACATTCAAAACAATTACGCAAATCAGTGGTTCCAATAGGAATATTATATGATGACTCCGTCAAATTCAATGCACGTGGCGAGATTTTTGTGATGAATCGTCACATCATACTAGAGGTTGGTGATACTGGTTTAACATCCTCCATTAATAAGTATAAGCATAAATCCCTCATTACATATAATTTTCAATTCATTATTGTCAATTTTTTCAGAACTTCCTGCAAAGTTCTCTAACTTTGCAATATGCTATAACTAAAAGAGCCTAAAAAGTAATGTGACGTTGACTCTCTACGAGATGTGGTGTCACTCTCACTGATTTCTCAAAATGTGTGGCGTGGTTTTCAACCATGATTATAAGTACCATATTAAGTATGAATATATAAAGCATTTATGTCAATAGTGCTTTAGACCGTTATAAATGGTATTGTTTTTGACTTCTGACTGTACTATACACATATATTTTTTAAGAATTTTATGTTTTGTTTTTAATTTGTGTTGCTGATAGTTTTTTCATGGATGAATGTCCATTTTTTTTTTTTTGAATCGAAAACAAATCGAATATAAGATTTTTTCGATTTCATTCGATCCAATTCAAAGGCAATTTACAATGAATCTCGCTTATGGAAAAAGTGTCGTCATCAATTTCCGCTCAGATCACAACAGTTGTAGGAGCAGCAGCATCAATGGGCCAAGTACTCAACGACAATATCGCGCAACTACCAGAACAACAACGACAACGACAACAACAAAAAGAAAACTTGGAATGCCATTTGCATGTGTAAAACCATAAATAACGCTATAACGGCAAAACGGCAAAAACCGCACAATTGCCCATGCACAGAACCGAGCACAGATACAGATACAAAGTCAGATTCCGTAAGAGCACATCCAGTTAGGGCAGGCGATACACAACAAGCTTATCTGAAAAGAATTTACCTTTGGGTTATGTTATGCTAAATTTAAAATATAAAAAATAAAAAATTGGAAAATTATTGAACAAAAGCTGAAGCAGGGAGCAAAAAATGAAAGCTGAAAGTAACCAAACCAAACCAAACCAAACCAAATACAAAAAAAAAAAACCAAATAGTAATGAAACTGAAAACTGAAAATTTAAAACGTTCCGAAATTGAATTGAAATTTTTGTATTTGTTACGCCCGGTAGCAATGGGTACCACAACAACAGCAGCAACAGAAACAACAACAACAGGACCAATATAATGCCAGTGGTAATAATAAAATGAAAATAAACGAAAATCTGTGTAAGAATTTTAGGTGTACTTCTTTCTCTACTTCCTTTGCGCAGTGACAGGATGCATGAGTTAAGCCTTTTTTGCATATCGCAACAGTAACAAAAAATATACATAGTTTGAAAAAAATAAATTTGTATCTACACATATACATCGCATAAATCTGCGAGTACGACAACTTCTCTGAAACATGCAGCGATGGAAATGAAAATAATAATCGAAAGCGAAGGTAAATAGGAAAAAAGTTCGCATAATGCAAATTACAACTTTGAAGGCGATATGCAAAATTTCAACCAAATTCAATTTTCTGTAGAGATTTAGCTAAACAATAGATCCAATGGACCCCTTTAATTTGGCAATGAACAATCACACACAAAATTGCTACTCAAGTAACATACACTTTTCATCAGATCCTCTCACAGTGTATGTGAGTTCGACTCAAGTTACTGAAGTTACTGAAGAAAGCGAAATTTCTAAACAAATCAAAGAAATCCAAAATTTGATGCATAAATTAATTGCGAAGTACTTAGCGTTCACCCTTCGCAACGTGCACCTATCACAGTATATGCTTAGAAGTAATTCAAGCAGCACATAAACTGCTTAAGCCATTCATCAAAGGTGAGACGTATTTGTGCATAAATTAAGGATCAATTCATATGCCAAAGTGCCAATGTGCCGAAGTAACGCGGATTCATAATCACATTTGCATGCCAAACTTAAGCTGCCGATATGCAAAAATACGATCGTTGCCAAAATACGGAAGAAGAAAAAACAACATTCCAGCGCAGAAAGGAAAATGTATGTAGCAAATAAATCTAACGATCGACAGTAAATTACATTAATAATGGGCATTAAGGCTGAACTCTGGACGCTGGGGTTGCCGAAGAAAATTTCTTGCTTTGATTGAGGCAACAGCAAGCAAAGGTCGCTTTTCACCCTATACGACAAGTAAGCCATACATAACATAACATACGTACATCCGTGCATAGGAGGAATGAAAAAATAGATTACGATCGCTTTGTTGACGTCTACTAGATCCAAATAGCAAACAAAAAAGCAATTTGCACCCCTTTTCGTCCGCATAAACCCGTACGACCTTTTCGACACAATTTTCTTCATTGTTCTCAATCAAACTAATACAATTTCCGTAGCTGATTTGCATGAGAATAGGAAAATTGATATTTGGTTTTGTCTCAAGAAGCGTCTTCTTTTCCATCGAATGGGAAAGAATGCTGATTCCGCATACACAAAGCAGATCCTTTCGTGTTTGAGCACATATAGTGTTGTGTTATAGGCGAGTACGTGAAGGGTGCACCACCTTTAATGGTTTCTGGTACCACACATTGTGAAAATTATGCATAAACATATTCGCAATGATTTTCTTACACGTTTCCTTAGCGAAAGGATGAGTATTCAAATAAGGGATCGTCTTCGTTTTGCATTTGCGTCAAATGTTGTACGCTCGCTTTCTATTTATTTAGTGTTGCGCGCATATTTAAATATCCTTGAAAGGGTTGCCGTGCCATGCCGTGCTCGCAGACGAGTAATTTGCCTATGCTAAGATAATGCTCTTACATCAGGAAGATGACATATGCGCATGTGTAAATTTCAATATGGGATTTTGCATATTACGCATATTTAATTTTCTCAGCATTAGGACAACTGAAATAGCTGGCAAGTAGAACGAAAGACGCGCAGATGAGTAGAGACAAGAAGTAGCTTAGGCAAGGGTTATTTGCCTATATGGAAATTACTTTCCCATGAAAACTCTTGTTTTGTTTAAGTTCAGCGTTCATAATAGACATAAACACAGCAGAGCAAAAGATGCAATCAAGGATAATAAATTAAAGTGCCAGGCTAGATAAACAATTTCGTAGATATACCGAATGCTGAAATGCTTTCGTATGTTTGCATGTCATTTTTTATTTTGGGGTGTAGTTTCTATGCAAAAATTCAAATTAATTTTGCTGATCGCGCAGTGAACATGCAAAACTTTTATTAATAAAATTAATCGATCAAAGAAAACAAAGTATGTGATATTGCGAAAAACCCTTTTAATATTGACAACATAAATGTCTAGTAACATTAAATGATGTGATGCTTCCATTTCGAATGCTGTATTATATACGAAATACAATGGGATGTTTCAGCTTCACTAGCAGATATGATAATAATTTTAGCGATCGATTTTTTTAGAGTAATAGTTTTTAACGAATTTTGCATAAATTTTCTCACGCTTCGGTACTACAAATATTTGGGCACATAAATGAAAGATCAATCCGTTAAATACTCATATAATACCCATATTCTAACATCTACATAAAAATAAGTATATAAAAATATGTATGGTATATTATAATATATAGAAAGCTATTTTTAAGGATGTGATGATATAAGGAGACCTCTGAAGTAGCAACTCCTTTTAGTTGATTTTTTATACTACTATAGTATTGACTTAAACTACGAAGTCAGTGTTATATTTGTACTTATTTGCTTTGACAACTCACCATAACCTTCTACATATTGTAATGGATTCTTACATATCTTATATATTTCACCCCAAATTTATATATTAGAACAAGACGTTCACATATTTTATAAAAGCATATTGCAACGTCTCACTATACCATATTTATAAAACATACAATGATACGGGCTATTTTGCAATTTTATATATTAACTTTACTAAACTTTTAATAATATAAGCTTTGTACCTAGACTAGATACAACATTATTCAATGGTTTTTTTGGACAAGTCAAAAAAAACTCTGAAGTTTGTCTTCATTATCAGAAATTTTTAAGTATTTTGTATTCTTTTGCAATGGCAGGACCTTAAAAGGTATTAGTGGTTGTTGCTGAAGGTCAGAACATAATTTTTTGAGCAAAACTTAATTACAGGCACGGACATGAAATCATGCCATAGTATCTTTCGCTCCAGACGAAAGCTGTGTCAAAAAGCGAAAAAGAATAGAAATTTAATTTTCTTCATCAGAGGGATATTATTCTGTCATACTCTTATAAGATAAACCCACTTTACTGAAATGGTTAAGATCGTAGGTTAAGATGTTCTGTCAGATAATCTCAATCTCAATATAATTTTATCAATCTCAGTATAATTTTTTCTAATCGTTATCCAGAGCCTTATTTGTGTGCCAATTAACTACACAATAAGACTAAACTAGGTCAGGGAAAACCAAAATCTAGTTCAAATAGAGAGGTGCTATGTTGACAGCACAAAGATAGCACCGCTCTACGTTACAGCAGTTCATCGAAAGCTTCCAGAAATTTTTTTAGTAGAACAATGCGTTTATTACTGCTTGAGTATCTGTACATATGTATATAAGGGGCTTAGGTTATTCAGGCAGTTCGAGTATACTTGTATTCAAACATGTAAGTTGCTATTAAGATTCCGGTGTAACTTTAAAGGTTCCGGGTGTTTAATATAAGATGTAAGTATTGTAACTACAGTCCTTAATGTTTAATTTTATACATTTAACTTTAAAATTTTTATTTTAAGTGTAAGAAAATATTAAAATATTTGTTGTGATTAATCAGTCATTTTTACTTATTTAATGTATTAATTGTTATAAATAAATAAAAATATTTTTATTTTTTTTTTGTTGACGGCACGGTTCATACACATGTAATGGAAAACGATAATCAACCTGAGTGGGGAAAAACTTGTTCCAAATGTAAGTCACTTTTAAAAGTGCGGTGTTTAAACGCACCGATTTGGACTTCTCCAAATCAAGATATTGGCATAAATATTTTTAGGTTTTTACTGTATTATGATCCATTAAATTATTCAATAAAAGAAAACTTTTGTCATAATTTTGGATTTAGAGAACTCACGCAGAGGGCGCTATTAATTTTTTATTCATAAAAAACTTTATCTGATTTTAAGGCTTTATTATTCCTCAGAGATACATATTTGGTGTTATGGGATTTTTTGCTATATTTAACGCCTATACAATGCGAATTTGTCTGTCAGTGGTAATAACTCAGTTAGTCGTGGCTCGTAATTACACAAAAGACAAATTGCAAGATGAAGTTATATGTCCAGTTTTGGAATATGATGATGGCAAATTTGTAAGTAGAAAGTATATATACCTTATTAATTTGCAGAATTTATTTAAATTTTTATGCATATTCATATATTTTATAGTTTTTCATATTCATGAAAATTTTAAATGCTGTTTTTATTGTTAATAGCTTCCCGGTGGTGAATATGATTGGTCACAACAATTACAAGGTTACGTACTATCGTCTTTTTATATAGGTTATGTTTTCTCTCAGATACCTGGTGGAGTATTAGCTCAAAGAATTGGTGCAAAAATTGTTTTAACCGTTGGTATATTGAGTACAGCCTTATGTAGCATTGCTACACCTTGGACCATAGTTCACTTCGATGCAATTGGGTTAATTTGTTTACGTATTATAATGGGCTTCGGTGAAGGCCCTACATTTCCAGCATTAGCTTGCTTACTTTCACAATGGGTACCAGTAACTGAAATGGGCTTTATAGGAGCCATTGTACTTGGTGGTGGACAAATTGGCACAATTGTCGGAAACACGATATGTGGGCTTATATTGGCACATTTCACGTGGGATAATGTGTTTTATGTGTTCGGGTTTACGTCGATATTATGGTGCATACTATTTGTAAGTACACAGTACAAAGTATAATGTCAATATTTCATTATTGTAATCGATAATACATTATGAATGTAGTTTACAAGGTTTAAACTTATTGATATAGGTGATTCTATGTTATAATGATCCAGCATCTCATCCATTTATTAAGCCATCGGAAAAGGAATATCTTCGCAGTATAATGGGAGAAATTTCTCGTAGGCAAGATCTGCCACCAACACCGTGGAGTTCAATATTTTCAGGTGCACCAATTTATGCGCTTATCTGTGCACAAATTGGCCATGATTGGAGTTTTTTCGTAATGTCGACTGATTTACCAAAATACTTTAATGATGTAATCCAGCTACCCATTGATAAGAATGGTTTCTTTTCTTCTTTACCATTCGGCGTTATGTGGGTCTCCTCGATTATGTCAGGCTATATAACTGACCATATAATTAGACGCGGAGCTGTTGGTATTACTAAAATTCGTAAAATTAATACTTTCATAGGTTAGTTGAGTTAGTGAATTTGTGAATAGAACTTAAATATTTTACTAATTTTATGATAATTTTCAATTTGTTTTGTAGCTTCAATGGGACCTTCCATATTTCTTGTTTTGGCTTCATATTCAGGTTGTAATCGTTTTCATGTGTTAGCTTGTTTTACGATTGGCATGGGATTGATGGGTCCTTATTATGCCGGTATGAAGTTGAGTCCAATGGATATGACCCGCAACTATTCTGCAACAATTATGGGTATAGTAAATGGAGTTGGCTCGCTTACTGGAGTGGTAGCTCCAGCAACTGTAGGTTTAATGACGCCTAATGTAAGTGTTTGCCTCAAATTTTATGTTAAAATAAATATATTAAAATTTTAAAATCTACAGACAACGATAGATGAGTGGCGTTTAGTATTCTGGGTAGCATTTATAATGCTTGTAATTTCTTCTGTTGTCTTTGTTATTTGGGGTACAGGAGAACGACAATATTGGGATGACCCTGAGAAGATTGCAGAAAGAAAGCAAAATAAGACTTGAAAACCCAAACAAAAATTATTTTAATGAAAGATAATAAAAGTAGAAACTTTGGGCAGACTCAATTTTAGATGTATTTTTTATATCTGCGTTTATAATGATTGTAAATAAATTATGTTGTTTCCAACGAAACATATTTTTGTAAATTTAATATTTGTATATGAAGTGTATGTTTATATATAAATCATCCTACTGTCCCATGTAGGTGCAGCTATATTGGATATTTGAAATTATTAAACAACCTGTGCTACGTACTACTTTGTTAATGATTATTTTGATGCCAAACCAAGTAATACAGATTATTTGTTCAAGATATGAATTTTATTTCAACAAAAATTTACAATTACTTTTATTTAATTATGATTTGACAATCAGACCTCTGACAATTGGCAGATTGGAGCTCCGTCACTCCCATGGATCCATATTGATATGATATTCTGATATCTATTGACTGATATTCTTGATGCTGCTTTTTAAAAACACTCATAGCCGACACGGTATAATAATTATAATGTACAAAATGTAGAAAAATAGATGTTTTCCTACATGTTAATATTTCTCCTTTATTGAATAATTATTTTTACACTTTTTAGCGTTAAACAGATTTGATAAATTTTATTTGTACTTGAAATTATTTTTAAAAGTAATAATAATAATTAAAATGTTAATTGATTGAGAAGCAGAAGCATGGATGCTATCACAGAATTATAAAGTTGGAAGTTGGAAGCACTGGAAATTTTCGAGAGAAAAGACTTTTCGTACAAGCTGTATGAATTTCCCCACGATATTAATGTAATTCAATGAATTTACCGCACTTGTTGACTTGGTCATGTATTGAAAAACAATGATGATAGTCCAGAAAAGTAGTTATTTGAAACATTAGTTAGAAGAAAAAGGAGTAGAGGCAGATCATATCACCGATGGAGTAATCCAGTTCATGGAGCACTAACCGCACTTGATGTACGAGAAATCATCAAATTGAGAATACTTATAAACTATCATATTTTTATGGTAGCAAGTTTCCACTATCTCACTGATTATATTTTTGAAATTAATACACTAATTGCGTAGCAATTAATTACATATCTCTTATAAATATGTTTAGATAATTGAGTTAAAATTTAAATACCGTACTCTTCAACAAATTTATTGCAATTAGGAGAATGTACTTTAGTGTGACAACCATATGTGTAAGTGTTAAAAGAAAGAGTAGAAGATATAATGTCGTATTATCATATAATCATATATGATTACAAATCATATAATAAATGCTAAAAAAAACAAAAAGTGCATTGTTTCTAATGTTGAGCTTAGTTGTATTACATGTCGTTTAAATTTTAATAGTTTAACATTATTAATTTAAAATTTTTATTTATTTTTTGTTTTTCAGTCTGTTTCACTATACGCAAAGAATTTTTCATCGTGTAAACGCTTAAATTAATTGTGGAATTACTGTTAATTGAGGTTTGTTATTTTCGTATTAAGTACAATATATGTATGAATCAAAATATAAATATATATATTATAATTTTATTTCCCCAAATCCAAAAAATTTTTTTTGATACTTCCAATTTTTTTGGTTTTAATCTTGTTTCATTATACGCTCAAAAAGTTTGTACTGTGTAAACACTTAAATTAGTTGTGGTATTACTGGTAATTAAGGCTCGTTTTTTGTGAAATGTAAACATAGAATTATATTTAAATAAAATACTTATGATTTTATTTACAGAAAGCCTACAATTTTTCTATAATTTTACAAACATAAGAAATTGTGAATGACATTTACATGCAGCTTAGCTCATTTACTGACGCAATTGAATTATTCATAATGTTAATAAAAAAAAAAGGAAAAATATGTAATAAAGCATTGAGTAATTATTCATTGTAAGGCAGTTCACAAAACAAATACTCTGCGGAAAATAGCGCAATCGCACCGCATTGTCTTCTTTAGTTTTCTGGGTCAAAAAATCAAGTTTATTAATATTAAAATTAATACAGAAGAGAGGTGAGACGCGCATAATAATTAAAACAACTGAATATGTCCATATATGTTCTGTTCTTACCGCTGTTGCTTTATTACGTCAAAGAGAAGGGTGCTACCAGCTTCTTTTTTGAATAAATTTAGTAACTGACGTCATCGAAGTTAGAAGCATTAACATTACAGAGTCAGCAACAGCAACAGGCGCATAATAAAAAATATGCAAACAAGTTGTTTATGCCCTTAACGAGGTGAGAAAAGAACATACAATATACACATGCACACACACATACAAACAAGTCCAATGCAACATCATTCACTCTGAGTAACCGCAGCAGACAGCAAAACCAAAACAAAATTATAAATTAACATAATTTAGAATTGGTAATTATGACCATGCGACCAAGGCAGCTCTGCTAAAGCGATGCTCATGAATGGACAAAATATTAGTAACGTGCCGCTGTTAAATTGTCAATGCATTAACGGTTTAAAGCAACAACAGTAAACGGCAGTAGCAGCGCAGCAGCATTAATGTAGAAATTCTTATGCGCGAGTTACGCATGCGCCCACCGTAGAGCTGCTGCTTAATTAACATTCACTGTACACTTTGCTAGTCAAAGGACATTATTGCTATTTACCTTAGATTAGCAACAACAATTTAATGAAGGAAAAAGTTGAAAACTAATCATTTTGAATATCAGGAGAAGGTAATGTTAGAGGGTTAATTTTTTTTTTCAACTTTTTCATTCTATTTTGACTTTTATTCGCTTGCATTTGTTTTTGTTTTTTTGCGTCCTGTTGAATAATTCAAATGAAATATCGCGATTTGTTGTTGTTGTTGCTGTTGTTGTCTTTGAATTAAGCAAGAAAAATGAAATATTGTAGCCTACGAAGTTGCTGGAAAAGGCAATGCGGTACGCACAAATCAGGGAATAAAATACTTTAAGAGGCGTTCGGCTCGGTTCGGTTCGGTTCGTATGGCCTTCTGTGCTATTGCCTGTCTTGCCTCATTTTCTATGCTGATTATGCGCATAATTTGTGACTTTTATGTCGAGTTTTGATCTTTTTTGGTGCTTCAACTTATATAATTTTGATTATTTGATCATTTCAGAACTTGAGGTTGTGTTGTTGAGTGATTAAGCAGTACCGGGTAATAATAATGTTATGAATTACTGGCATGAAATGACCTTGACAATAAGTTTTTATAATGTGAAATTTGTGGAGAAAAGGAAGATTATTAAGATATAATCAATATATAAAAGAATATATTTAAAAATATGTTTTATCATTATATGTAGATTTATTTCAGGGCTTTTTAACAATGAAAAGGTTAAATGAAGGGAATTGGGTTTTTACTTACTTTGGCATAGTCCTTCAATCTAATTTGTGCACTTACTGCTAAGCTTTTTTAATTTTTTATACCCAAAATAGGCTCCCAAAGTGTTCATTAATTGCAAAGATCACATCTGATTTCGATATTTCCAAACAAATATTTTTTTTTCGATACAGAAATGAATATAATTGCTTTTTTAAGGGTTATCGAATGCTAGAACTATGCTAAGATTTGCCTTACAACTGTTTTGTTACTATTAATTAACCAAAAAGGTTTGCCTTTCTGGGCTTTCCTTTAAAATATATTTTAAGCTTTGCCAGAGGTTCAAGCTGAAGTGAAATTTTTGAGGTTCTTATCCTTACAATCGCTGGTATAATTTAACCTAACTTGTCGAACCTAAAATAGCTAAAATTGCAAAAAAAGGGATAATCTGGACAGACTATAAACAAATACAAAAGCAATTTACAACTTTATTATACTGTAGTCATTACAGTCAATGCACAATAAAATTTATTATATGATCTTAATAGCCTATGCCACGCTTGAGTAAAATTGAGAATTAAACTAAGTTTTTATAATAATTTTCGCACTGTTTATAGCGTCCATTGAATTAAAATTTTATTAGGGTTTTAATGCTGTTAAAAACGTTATGAAATCAATATATGTATAATATTTTTCTTAAGTCATTTTTTGGTATTTATCGCATAAAATAGATATGTTTAGACGGAACAGTGAACAGCTAAAGTATAAAATTTATATGTAATTTATGAATACTAAATTAAATTTTAAATTACTTGTTAAAATTTTTTTTTTTACTTTTCTATCCACACATAATCAAGCAGAGTTCATATATACGAACTTTTAATTTGCAGATTTCACCAAGTATATCAAGTATTAAAAATTAATGGATTAAAATTAATCCCTAAAAACTCTCAAGTATATTATTGGCCAATTGGATTAAGTTTAAGAAGGTGGGGTAAGCGAAAGTTGCAATTAAATAAATATATGAGCTCCTATTAATGAAGTTTCCTTCTTTTAAAAAACTACTTCTAACTTTCATAAAGAAAAAATATGTTTAGGTATTTATCAATATCCAAACTTTATTTTGATTTAATCGGTTATTTCCTTCATTTGTTGTTGTTGTTCCGAACTAAACTGTGTTTCTTACAATAATTTACTGTAGCTTCTTCTTCTGTAAATTTTTGGGTATAAACTGCAGAATCGAGACAGCCAATTTTCTAATTTCAACGTTTTGATGATTTCTAAACAGTTCTAAACTATTTCGCATATTCGGGTCTTCAATCATGTGGATCACTTCCGGTCTACGTTCTCTCGATCTATTCATAATGTTTAGCATAATTTGTAGTGTTCTCTTCAGCAACTGTAATTCAAGAGAACGAATTTTCATATCTCTTAAATATTGCGAATATTCGTTAAAAATGGCTAGAATGTGCGTACGAGTCCCAGACTCAGTTATATTCAAAATAATCAACGATACTAAGTTTTGTAAACGTATGTCAGCTTCTTTGAGATTTTCCACTATAGTTGGAATCAGATTTGCATCTATGAGTGCCTTTATTTGTGCAGGATTACTGACGATAATCTTCGACATAAAACATAAGGTGTTACGTTTTGTTTTCATATTCTTGCTAAGCAGTAGATCTGAAAAATTTGATAGTATCTCAGCATTAAGAAGAGCGCGCTTTTGTGATTTTGCACTGATTTCAATTTGCTGAACAATCGCGATGGCCATACGTCGTATAAAAGTTGAAGGAGATGCAAACAAAGCTAATAATTTTTGGACGAATCCATTATCAATCATCATTTGTTGATGATCACTTTGCAAATAAAATAGAGTCTCAATGACGTCGTGTACAATACACTCCTCAACAGAGTCAATAAGGTAAAAAAGTGTAGGGAGTATTTGATTAGCATTTGCTTTTGAAAGTGGAGCGCTCTTATAGCTGCATATTGTCAAATACAAGTTGCTTATCTTTTTCAAATATGGTTTTGCTATTGTCTTTTTCATGAAGACAGTCAAGTATTTTAATAATCCCGATCCAACAACTATGTTACGTAGATTAGAACTTCCTGAAGCAATGTTGTTCAACGCCGAAAACGATTCTTCCAATATGTTACCTTCCGTTGAAGATAGCAATTGTATTAAACGTGGTACAGCACCCGCAGTTATGAGATGATTTTTATGATTGTAGGTACCCTCGGAGATATTTCGAGTTGCGACAATTGCTTCGTATTGCACTTGAGGGTTGTTATAAGATCTCAGGCAATTAATTAATGGTGGTATTAAATCATTGGTTATTAACACTTCCACTTTCTTTTCAGATATTATGTTACGCATAAAGCCAATTGCATCTAATTGTTCATGCGGGTTATGTATCACATTAATAGATTTTTGAATTCTTTTAAAGTCCGCTGTTTCGATAAATTCGTCGAGCTTTTCACCATGCAGATCTGTTAGTTTTGTTGTACGTATATGACCAGTTAATGAACCAGGAGTTGTTTCCCACTTGATCCATACTTTTTCTGTCATGGTATACGGATAAGTCAAATTTTATATCAAAACATTAAAACTGCTAAATTTCGAATCAAAATTTGATTAAATCAATTACCAGAACTTGTATATGACCATTCGAACTTTATAGTAAAACATATTTTTATTAAATATCCAAATAAAAAAATTTTTTAATTCAAATGTAAAATCATAGGCTGCTTAAATCAATTCGAATATAGAGATATAAAGCTTTAGTAGAGAAAACACAAACGATTTTGTTTTAATATTTTGTTCCTGAAGTACGGCTGGCGGTGTACAGCACTCATGTCTTTCTCGTGAACTGTTGATAGTGAGATAATATTATAAGATTTATTGAACAACTTCTATGGATTTTTCGTTTTTAACAAACGATATATGAAATACGGTAATATTATACATAATAAATTTAAGAGCTTGTCAAAATGTAAAGTCGTTGCTAACACATAGATTTAGGGGGAAAATCTCTGTGGATTTCTAATTCACGACCAATGAGAAATAGATCACCAAATCTGGACAGTGCTATTCTACATTATCAATTTAAGGGTTTATCGAAATAGTATGGAGGTTCTACAGTAGGCGGACTTTTTACTGCAAAATTAAACAGACTAGCTGATACCTGGTCGACAAGCTATTTGATAAAAATAAAAACAGTGTGAAGAAAGCAATGTATGCCAAAGTTCGCTTTAAGCTCTAGACAGAAATGATGATGATTTTAGTTTTTTTAATAAATAAGGAGTTTCCAATTTGATATAAAAAGTATATATCAGTATATATATATAACTTACATTTATTCATATTTATTGTGGTGGATTCGTTCACCTATGCATTCCCAATCTGGACCGCTACAAGCTTGGCTAAAACGTAACGGTTGCGCGCTTTTCAGATAAAAGACCTCTGTTATTATAATAATTATAGAAATAAGCCTAATGACCATCATTACTCTATTTGATTTATTTACTCGAAGATATAATCTCCCTTTAAATATCCTGTAGACCGGAGAACTTCCGAATGAGCTTTTTCAAACTCTCTCCCATAAGCTTCCAATCCCTTGCTCTCTTCCCTTTTGATATCCTGCAGACCGGGAAATTTTCCACTGAGATTTTCCAAGCTCTCTCTTATGAGTTTGATTACCATCTACTTTAATGAGATGGATCATTAAAAATTTCATTGTTCAATCGCGGTTATAAAAACCTGGTCCATAAAGTATACTGTTGAAAAGCTCTAGTTAACGTATACCACGTTCCTATTTCCAGTTTAGAGAAACTTGAAAATTCAAATGCTAAGCGTCTTTACTTAGAGTTCGCTTTGATTACTGGAATGCGATTTTGCTGCTCTAATGTCTGAGATCTTATTTGCCCGTTCCTAAGAGGTAGTCTTAATGAGTTTAGGGCCTACACTGACTGACGGTTTCCAACTACCGCAAAAAGCAAATAGTGTTGTTGTGGAAGCATTTGCAATTTTATTGAGTTATTAAATCTTTAATAAATTTTAAATTTGTTATTTCATAAGTTATACTTTAATTTTTCAATTAAATTCAACAAATGCTTTCAAAGTATTATTTGTGGGTTTATGTACCACAAAGAACATATTTCATATGAAATAAACATAAAAATCACACCTCAAAATTCGAAAAAAGGACTTAACAAAAAAATCTTGATTTTAGCATATCAGCAATATTTGAACTGAACTTTATTTGCTATACATATGGGCTATGCTATGCACCCGTTACTGTTGTATTCGCTGTGGTGAAGCATTAAACATTTGGAATACGCAGAGCTTAGAAGGATGTTTAGATACATCGTCAGCGAAATGTTGTTAAAATAAACAAGGAATAAACGCCAAAAATCGAAATAACCAAACCCGAAAAAAACAAAGTTAAAATTAAGCGCAACAAGACTCTTGGGTACTGTAAAGTGACAAGACAGCGACAACAAAATCATCTATTGAGAATAACGAAATAAAAAAATAAATGTACGAGTACAATTTTATTGAAGTATCCGTGCACATTTAAGCAAGAAATGAAAAAATCGCTGACGAATCCTTTAACACGGTTCCTCTTTTTTATTGGTTCAACAACTGATGACAGCGAAAAGGATATGGCTATGTTTAGGATAAAGGGTTGTGTGCTTAAAAAGCGGAACACCACATAAACAACAATAAAACAGCACATACCGTACAAGGCTCTATTGTAAACGTTGAGACACCCAACAACGGAAGTAAGCAGTATGTGCAAGTCCTGGCATATTCTTTGAATTCCAATGGAAGACTCGAAAACATAAAATCAAAATAAAATGTATGTAAGTTGAATGTATAGAAATACTGTGTATGTGTGTGTGCATGTATGTCGGTAAGAAACAACAACAATTAAGTTGCACGTTGTTTATAATTAAGCTGAACGTTGAGCAATCTTCGCAATGGTACGGATGCTGTGTTGCACGCAAAAGGGTTGATTGGGTAGTTCGGTGCATTTTGGATTGTGTGCGTTTAGAGCACACATTTCTAGCTGTCTTTACTTCTGCCTTGCAGGATGCTAATCTCAGTGAATGGAAACTGCAGTTTGCAGTGCCATCTCTTGATTGCTGCTTGAATTTGTGTTGCATTCATTCCAACTGGATTTAAGTGCTAACACGTGTGTTGTCTAATTTGAAGTACGGAAACTGTACAAATGTGAAAATCTTAATTTTAAAAATAACTTCAATTTCGTCGGTATGTACTTCGTCGGTAAATAGCGCAAGAAGTTGTGAAATTAACTGACGAATATGTATTCAATTTGAAAAACGTTTCCTTAGGATACTCCAAAATAAATAACAAAATTTGTCTACGGAAATTAGATTGCAGGTATTTAATGACAATTGAAAATTAGAAGTTGGTGGTTAACAGTGATTAATTGAATAATATTGTGCCACAATAGTATGAACATAAGTTCTATATAATTTTGCATATTATATCTTACAATAGACTTCAAGATATATTTAGATATAAAAATGTTTCTTATTTGCATTAATATTGTGACCACTGACGAAAGTCGTAATTTGTTCTGTTTCAACTTACAGACCTTTTTAGTGTTTTCTGTTCCAATATATTTAAGCAAAAAAATATTTTATGAGTGATATACATATGTAACCTAATTAAACCTCGGTGAACACAACCATTTATTAACACATGTCGTATTTGCTTCGTTAATTCTAGACGCTAGCGACATCGATATCATTCACGATGATGACAGCCTGAAGATCAGATGAAGATTTATCATTGCTAATGGGTGGTACTATAGGCTCAGTAGACAATTTGGATATACAGCTTTGTCTTTCTCGAGAGTCAAGACTTATGTTCTATATATATGTCATCCTAGCTGTGTTTTTGTATGGCGTAGCAGCATGGACGCATAATGGTAAAGTTGCAGTGAAAGTTCACGAAGGAAAAGTTTTTAGTAAGAACTTTGCTCCTCTATAAGTTGGCGATGCCTACCGCATCTAAATAAATCACGTGCTATACGAGCTATATCACGACACTGATATAATTTAGCGCGTTAATATATAGTGACTTCGCTGACTTGGTCATGTCATGAGAATGGATGACGATGTTTCAGCGAAAAACGTATTTGAAGTTAAAGTTGAAGGCAGAAAGAGTAGAGAAGACCGTGTGGTGGAGTGATCAAGTTGAGGGAACATTAACTGCAATTAATGTAAGCGACTAAAGTTAGCGCACACTAGTAAGAGCCGACTGGAGGGTCACACTGTGTCAGGCTGAACCCTTTTTCGGGTTGTTATGGCTATTTATATAAGCAAGTTAGTAAATTATTATAGACACAACAATCGTTTTCTAAATCACTAACTGAGCGGCAATTTAAATTATTATAGAAAAAGACAGCAATCTGCATATAGGTTCATATTGAATTTTAATGATTTTAAAACATAATAATTTTTACATAAACTTAAAACTTCATAACCATTCTTTTGCTTTACTCTACTGTTCATTACAATAAGCTACTTCAACTATAAAACGCATAACTACATGAACAAAAAAATCTAGAAATTTTTGTGACAATTTGCAAAATAATTTATTAACATAATCTGAGGAAAACTGACAAATTTTTTCTACCATAAAATTTTTACCAAAATATTCCGGTATATTAAGCCAACCAACAAATGTGGTCTTATGCATACCATTTACCGATGCCTCGGACATTTAACATTGGCCAACTAACAAAGCTTTGGTCAGTGGTTGGTCTTAATACCAATAATAATAATAAAATGGACATCAGTCAGTTGGAGTCAGTAAAATAAGGCAAGACAATCCTGAGAGACAGTGGGGGGAAAGTGGGGAAACAGGAACATCAATGCAAGTTAACAGGCAATGAGCAAGAAAAACCATGCAAAATATGAAGAATTTATGAATATGTCCTTTTACAATAAACAAAGCACAAAACAGGACTATGAAAATTATTTCAAGCGGAAAAAGCTCAAAATTAAACTTAAACGTTACAGGATATAATAACAATAACAACAAAAACCAACAAATACTAACATTTGAAAATGTATAAAATATTACGTTGCGGTTGTGCTGTCTGCCATTTAACAAATTCCAGTTTAATATATATGAAGATATAATAACTTCCTGTAATTTTGTCTCTTAATACAAAGGACTTCATCATCATGGCTGCGCACTGAAACCGAATGGCCAACAGCATTTACCTATAGCGGAAAGCTTTTGTGCGATGTTGTGTATGGATGTGCTTATGCAAGTCCTTTATTCCTTTTTTTTTGCTTTTTTTGCTGTTTGAAAGATTTTCCGGTGCACAGTTAGTAAATCATTACGATAAGTCGACCACATACAAATGCGAACAAAGGATACACTGTATGAACTAACTTGGAATATAATAGTTCTATGGATGGGTCAAAATATCATGATTTAGTAAAATTTTTAAAATTAAATTTTATTATATTTTATAAATATTTAAAATATAAAAATTAAAGCAAAACTATTCTTTTTTGATTATAGATTAAGTAGCTGCTTTTAAGGAAATTAGTATAGGCTATAATAGAGATATGGAAGCAATTTCCTACGAGTTTCCGAATCGTATTTGGCTAGCGCACAGATGTTTTTGCTAAGGACTTAACTGTACCATAATGAGGCATAGTGAGGTCGAACCAAAATTAACCGAATAATATTTGTGATTAATTGTATTTATCACTGAAAATAAAAGCGAATACAATATTTTGTTAATCAACACCTCTACTCCATTTTGTTGATGGATCCGGTAGATTCTCGCTGAAAGTGTGAAATGACTTTGATATTAGTGTTATTGAATCGCTATTGAATCGTGCGGATATATATAACTGTTTTTAAACAGTTTCAATGCTTTGTCTTTTATAAATTTTTTAACAGCTGGAATCCTACAAGCCTATGTGAAGATCTGTATTTCTGATATACCACGTGACATTCTTCACTCATCTCAATGCTATATTTTCGCAGATTCGAAGGTTATAGATGTTCGCATAAGTAGGCTTTTCATATGTTACAAAACCATATAACAGATTTGGCTTTATGATAGTTTTGTACAGTAGTAACTGATTTTTAACAGTAACCGACTACTATACAAAACTTGAAGTACTGATCATTGGGTGTTACTATATACAGAGTAAACAGAGCTTTTTGTGTCAGTGTGTTACAAGTGAAATTGTCAGTCAGCTGAGTGGATAAACCTCGTCCAAAGTGTCAGATAAGGCTATAGTACCCATTGTTTGGGATGTAGCTGAAAGTTTGTTTATCAACTACTTTGAAGAAGTCCAGGTCTTCAATAGGGATCGCTCAATAGGGATTCAAAGGAGGATCTCGCAAAGTAAAAGTCCAATATATGGAAAAAGGAGTTCTCTTTCACGAAGACAATGCTTCGTGTGGATTCATCCCGTAGCAGACCTTATAAAATGCTACGGGAAAAAAAATTTGGCTCCGATAAAAAGTCATCACCAAACCTGAGGCATATTTTGAAGAACTGGAATGTTTGTGTTACGTTTAAAGAAGGCTACATTGATAAATAAGAACGAATTTTGGCGAAAAGCTGTTGTTTTTGATATTAACAACAATACTACTTGAGTACATTGATGCCTTACAGAGATTTATCGATTTCTATTTAAATTACAAGATTCAAAATATAACCATTCAAATGTGAAATCCACTAAACTAAAAATCGTTTCTAACAGTGGTTTTGTCCTTCAAATACAAGTAAAAAATCGGAATCATAGTAACTGTTCATAGTCATTGTTAAAGATTACACCACTATATATTTAGATATGCTTAAATGTGCATATACGTACCTTATAATTTTAAACTTCCCCATCTCTGCCTCTTAACAATAGAACAGTTTCATCAAATTGGTACATTTCAAAATAAGAAACATGATTTTAAAATAGAAATCAAGCAAAACGGAAAGAAAGGCAATTCGAGCCAACTACATTAGTGAAAAAAAATGTAATTTCCAAATGGACGAATTTCTGACAGTTGAGAAAAGCGTGAAAAATTCGGGAAAACTACACGTACATAAACATTTTAAAAGCAGCGGCGGCGTAAAATTGTTGGCAACTTGGCAAGATGCGGCAAAAGCTACTGGCAAAGCGACTATGCTGCTGCTGCTGCTTTAGAGGAGTTTGGCTTGTTTTGCGCATTCATGCTTGAATTGTTTGGAGACCGCGTTAGTTGCTGTCGAGCACTCCAGGGGAGTTGGGAAGCAATAAACCCAAAGGGAAATGTAATAAACGAGGAATTCTTGTACGTGACCAACCGCACTAAGGGTGCAACTGAACGCAAACGCTTCAAATTCGCTCTATAACTTCGGCTCATTTCTTGCCTAACAACAGCAGAACATGACTTTAAAAAATAATATGTGATAAAAAATTTAGCTTACATATAAAATAAAAAAATAGTAGCTAACGCAAACTGTGAAGTAAGACTATTTAATCGATATTGAGTTTTGAAGTAACGAATTCGAATGTAAAATATAATACATAATCTGAAGCAACCCCATAGAAGAAAGTAGCCTCACATACTTTCAGTTGAACATTCTTCCATTCACATTGCGGCCAGAGCAAATGGAAACTAAATATAAATACTTAGGCACAATTTGGAACAAATAAGAAATTTCGGAAATTACACTCTTGAGACAGTTTCTGTACAGTTTCGATTTAGATTAGTTCTAAGCCTTTTCCATTTTTCCCATTTTCACAATGAAAACTGAAATTCAAATAGGAATCATAAATGTAGCCCCAAACGTAATAAGCATTAAGCATTAAGCAATAAGCCAGAACAACAACAAAAACTTCAATAAACTAAATCAAAAGTAAATATGGTGCCGAAGCAAACTGGTGGACATAGTATCTTTTGTTGTAAGTCCAAGATGAGAGAGAAGGCACAATAGAAATCTTTTTTGTGGAAATCGAACATAATAAAATCTAAAATGTTGAAAGCAAAAAGTAATTGATAAGGGAAACGTTTTTCTGTTGCTTGGAATTACTTGTAGCAATTCGTCCACACACGTCATACTCAGATCAGGCATGCAGATGCAACATAAGTTCTACGTAAGACACACATTCAAGCACTGGCGTGACACTAGATTGTAGCCTTAATTATTTTCAAGTAAAAATCACTCTTGTCAACGGGAACACCCATGAGCATCTTTGGTCTCCTCGTTTACTTGCCTCTTGCCACATTTGAATGGTCTGCAGGATGGAATGACTGCGACTATGCTGGACATGCACATTTCAATACAACTTGAAGTACTGCAGAAGCAGGCAATCTGATCGATTTGCGGATTTGTTTTGTAGGAATTCATTTTATTTGTGGGTTTCGTGTAAAAATCAAATCAATTCTGTGAATTCGTCAAACCAAACATAATATCAAAATTAAGTTGGAGTTTGATTTTAAATTGACTGCAAATGGGTTTGTTGAAAATAAATGCTTAAATAATAAAACCTGATTAAAGAAACTGGAATAGATAGATTGAGTTTTAATAAAAACTAATATATCAATATTTATATAATTTCTGATGCCCATCATCCAAAACTCACAATTGGCGAACCCTACGCTAAACATATGTTTTGGATAACAGTTTTAGCTGTCATATGTTAATTAAACAGTGCTGTCAAATCATGACTACGAATATGGTAACTTATTGTTTCATTTACGTTAATAAATTATAGTAACACTATTTTTTTTAAACTGGTGTAGAATATGTACAAATATAAGTAACAACGAAGATATATTACCGATACTAAGATCTTATTTGAACTGGCCAGTACTTTTTTCTAACTACTTAGTAAATTCCCTTAAATACGCGCATGGTAAGTAAATAGTTATAAGAAGGTTCCATTGTTTTCCTTAATAGATCTCTGAACTGTTGTCTTATACATAAACAATTTAAACTCAGCAATCGTTTAAATTAAATCGAATCGAATAAACTTTATTCCATCAGTGTAATATTTTTAAGAAAATTATTCTTGAATAATCGATTTGTAAATTTTGATTTATTATTTATATTTCATTCCAAGATTTAAGATTAATAAATTTTACATATTCCATACGTCAAATTTTTGGAAATATGAATAGAAATGACATTTCTAATTTGGTTTCTGGAACATATGTTAAAGTGGTAACTACAGATGGTGAGGTGGCAGAAGGCTACGTTGTAGATGTAAATGATAGATGGCTGACTTTATCTAAAGCTATTCTCAACGGTGTGCGTAGACTTAATTCTCTAACTCATCATTCGATTAAGTGAGTACTTCTCTTTTGAAAAATAAAATAAACCCAAATTAGTAATAAACCATTGATAAGAACAGAAGAAGATGCAGAACTATTTGATGCAGAACTATTATTATAATTGTAATACTTGACAAATTTTACTAGTATTTAAAAATAATCATTTTTAGCATAAAAAAAGATTGATAATGTATGTTAATTGTCGTTTCTGTTTTTTTAATTTTAGCGTAGCGCAAATCTTGAAATACTCGTCAATATCGAAGGAACGCATGGACGAAAGATCTAAAAAATTGAACGAAAGACATGAGGCGATAACTCGTAATAGCTTTAAAGGTAATCATACGAGAGAAACAATTTTCAATTTTTAAAATTTTTATTATTAAATTGTGGAAATGAATTTTTATGAAGTGTCAATAGTAGTGGAAATTAAGCGATTCGCAACCCACAATTCAAGTTTCTAAAAATAGTACATTATGGTGTTCATTATACTCACTCCACTACTAATCTTGACTTGTATTCAATTTATGAGTTTAATTAAGTTTTCTTTAAAACACTTTATTTTTATACAGATCGTGAGATGTCCTTTTTAAATCCGTCGACTGGGTGCATAATCAACCAAGAAGCTAAAAGACCCAACAGTATATTCGACATTGATAAACCCAATGCGGGTCAGGATTTCCATCCATCGGGGTGGCTAGACAATAATTTGAGTTCAAACCAAATATCAAGTTCTATGAAACATGCATTCCATTACGATGCTGATTCCTTTCCAAGTTATCTTGCAAAAGATAAGGAACGCTTACAATCTATGTCCGCAACAGGAAGTGACAATAAAATGAATGGATGTTTAAATATGAACAAAAAGCATGGAGCTACTTCATGTGAAGCAACAGGTGCTATCCCTCGTCCACAAAACTGTCAAAATATAACCAAAAACAGGGAGCAGAACATTTCAGCTCGTAGGACTTCTAATGCACAAAGATTTTATACTGAAACATGTTCTAGTGCGAGTAATGACGAAGAAGATCAAAACGAAGCCTTTGGCAATGGTAAGTAGGCTCCATACATTATACTTAATTAAAAATAATCACTTCAAACATTCTCTCATATATTTTCGGTCGTATAGAATATGAAGCAGTAATGTTTGAAACCATATATGGCTATAAAATACCTACAATAAGTGCATCTGAACGCGCCACTATTGAAGATAATTTGAAACAAAATGGAGTTCATATAAAGCATTCGAACATAATTTTCAGCTTACGTGCTTTTGACTGGATCTTAAAGATATTACGGAAGACTAATCCCAGTCAATATGAGGGATTGACTGTTGTTATTGTATGTGCCAATACCGATGCCGCTATTGATCTTGGGTTTTCTTTGGCTTATCTGCAGAATGCGCAAGGCTTCAACGTATGGGTTTACGTTGACAACAAAACTAAAAATAAAGCTGATAATGAAATTTGGCAAGCCATTCAGCGACATATGCGTCCCGGACTAGAAAACAAAATAGTGTTGAATATTGACTATGCGCCACAGCCAGATTTTGTTGTATTGGCAATGAACTATAACTTTAAAGAGGAGTGGTCTGTTATGATTAAGAGGTTAATGCATCATATGGATGGTCCAACATTTGTTTTGGATCCACCTGCTAATTTTAATCCGATTTCCTGTAAAAGCTATACATTCGCCCTTGTGCCAATCCTACCACTCACTGGTATGAACGAAGAGATATATACTGAATTAATACTTTGCAACTTAGCAGTTCCCGAAGAAATCATACGTCAGGTCGTTTCAAATTATGAATCACCATTCGGAATTCAATATGCTATAAGTATCAAAAGAGTGCAAAACAAATCAAATATCAGAAATAATTAAAAATTTCTCCATTTTAATGTTCAAAATTCAAGTTATTATTTAAATTTTATTTAAAACATTTGTCTGAGATCAGAAGACAATTTTTGTTTAGTGATGCTTTCAATAAAATCTTTGATCCCAATTGAATTTGTTTATAAATTCATATCCTACAAAGATATTTTTTGAAGTTTGTTTGTTTGACTGCAAGACCCAAATATTTATGGTAAATGTAGGTCTTCAATGTTCCATTACTGAAACAAAGCTAGTGAAAACATATTAAGCGATATTCAATGGGCTTGATCAATATGATGATATACCTATTGACTGGGTTCCCTGTCATATGAACATTGATAGGAGTGGTGTTTCCATAAATGTATATCTGCGGGTGTCGATTTAGTTTTAGTTGTAGATCGCTACTATTTTAGTTAGATGATAATTAATAACCATGCATGATTTTCCATTCGGTCTGGTCTTCGTATAACAAAGCTAGTCTTTGGGAACTCTTTCACGGAAAAGGTTTTAAAATAAAACGAAGTTGAAGTTGTTAAAACTAATATAATAAGTCTATCACTATCTGAAGTAACCGATTTTAAGAGAAATACTACTCTGACAGTTTGTCGGAGAGCTCCTCCACAATGGCAGAAATCTGTTAAGATAGTTGAACTCAACAGACTGTATTGTGTTTTACATTTCGGCTTATTTTGGGAAGTTCGTGATATTATAATAGCGAATAATTGCTTTATAAGAGAATACTAGAATATTTGGAGTACTGGTCATTTCACACGCCTGCTTTAGCATTGTAGATCCGCAATTCTGACAACGTATTCTTTCAAATGTTTTGTAAGGCTTTTAATAATTTTTTTTTAAAGTTTTATGAGTTAAGACTGTTAAACAGCAATTTTTATTTCAATGTTATGATATTGCATAAAAATTAAATCCTCTATTCCATGATATTGTAACATTTCCTTCGTAGCACAAAATCCTCCATCATATCCTGTTCATAAAACAGTAGCAATAATAAAAATTGTAAAAGTTACAATTGAAAACAATTTGCTCTCAAATTAAAAACCATTTAAATTAATATCTTGGACAAAAAAATTCCGAATCTACTCCAATATACAGATGCTAACATTTGTTTATAATATCATTTATTGTACTTTAAGTGCTGAAAACTCTAATGTTCCACGCAAGAAAGAATGGTTATTTAGCAAGCGTTAACTCTCCCCTTTGCACTTTCCGTCCTTACTTCATTACATACAATCAACGCCAAATTGAACAGACGTCAGTAAACCGGCGTTGAGTCATTACAAGGACTAAGTCCACGCCATTAAATTTTAAAAATGGAATATGAAAAAAGTATCCATAAAAATGTGTTCATTCAATCGCGGCACTCTTACACTCGCTCGTGTTTTTATGGTTTATTAAAAATGTCCTGCGCGGCTTAACTCAGTTGCTACAAGTCGCAATTGCCGCAATCGCCTTACAACGATATCCTGTGTTTCCCTTTGAAACCGCTACGGTTCTTAATTTTATTTAATAGCAAGATAATTCCTTTAATTGTTGAATCTTTATCTAATTTTTTGTATTCTCGTAATTTAATTTTAATAATAATTTTCTTTTTGCATTTAGCATTGCTATACTCATTTATATTTAAAGGATATTTAGCTCAGTGACATTGAAAAAGTGAAAGAACTGGTCCGTCGGAAGTTATATTTGATGAGTATAGTTTAGTGCGTACTAATAAGGTTTTTCATCAATAATTAACGTCTGTTAGATTTGATTTCAATTGGTTGCTCTATATGTGTCATCTATATTTAAGCAGTTAAAAAAAGCAACAAATTGTGCGTGATTTATGTATTCCACAGAAGCCAACGCAGTAATCGACACTTTCTTATCAACGAACACAGAACTGCTACTTATGCTGGTAGTCTCCTTATCTTCTTCAACATCAATATTGAGCACCAATCGGCCTTGCAACTCATCTCACTGCCGTATCTGCAACTTCACTCAAACAACTTGAAGGCTTACTAAGCAAGCGAGCAGACTTATAGGGCAATTGCTGTAGGAGAGTGAATGTCTCGTAGGTAAAAATAAAATCACTAAACTTGGTAGCTTCAGCGGATTTGTTTAAGATATCTAAATATAAATCAATGCACTCAATATAAGACGATGGTCCGAAACGGACCAGAAAGTAGAAATATGCAACAGCACACAGCAGTTTGACTTATTCATGCAAAACAATTGTGACGACAATATTCAAAACACAAAAATGCCCAGTAGCACTTGCGCTGTCAATATTCCTATGGATCGACCATAAATTTCGAAGTGGTCACAACACAAACAAACAACCATGCACACCTAATATGCGCACACAGCTTCCTAACTTGGGGCAGTAAAGGGCAGACATGTAGCCCTGACTTGGCATTCATTCGGTGTTTTAGCTACAAGCAGCGGACAACGAGAAACGACATCCGCGTTCGCCTCCTTCTTCTTCGTGTATTGCACAGCCCAATGCATTTGCATGGACCAATGGACCAGCTCACCTCAATTTACTGCAACTGTGCCACCAAGTCGAATTCAACTCTTTGCCTTGCGCTAGTGCCTTGCGTCGAGTTGCAACGGTTGAACTTGTAATCATTTGTGCATCTCCTACCGTGAATTCGTTGTGCCATTATTTTAAGCTGCCAGCCAACATCAGACGCACCATCGCCATCACCATTCTCATCCTCATCGTCATCGTCATCTTCATCGCAAGCATTACCCCAGGGGAACACAACGAACCATAAGATGCAAAATATTATTATTATTATTATTGTTCTTATAAATTGTTGTTGCTTTTCATTTTTATTTCTTATTTGATTGGAATTCTATTCCAACCGAAGTCATGTCTGAAGGTTTATTTTTTTGTTTTGTTTGAAGAGGTGCTTGCTCAAAGCAATTAAAGAGGTCGTGGCATAGCTAATATGTTTGCAATGAAACAGTAGGCAACCGACAGTTCGAACGCCAAAATATCACGAAAACAAGTATTAGGAGTAACAATAGTAGAAGGGATAGCCATGTTTCATACTCGCGTACGTTAACTGAAGTTATCCATAGCATAACAGTTATGCTACGACCGAATTCATTCACTATTTTTACTTTTTGACGTAAATAGGTATTGCTCTATGCTTCGGGTAACACATTCTGAACAATTTTAAACTTCCTCGACATTCTTAAAAAATGATATTGTTATGGAATAAAGGAGACCATTTTTAAGCCAGGCAGAACATATTACTGCTAAAATACATTCTGGGATTCTGGGATTGCTAGCATATTCTTTCTTCCTTCCTCATCCGGACTTGGTACCGACAATGTCGAAATATCAACTATTATGATACCTTATAAATTTGATATACTCTCTGCACCAAGGATTACGTTTTCATTGAAAAAAAAAACTATTCTTGCTTCAAAAACTTTTAGTAATAATCTTAGTTAATGTTTCGCCAGTTTAAATATAATCTACTAAACAATATTTCTTTTGTAATTTAAATAACTCACTTTCATTGTCGCCATCTGAAAAAGAACTCGCTTCAAACTCGAAATTTAAAATCACAAGTTTGATTCATAGTAACGAAACGACAGCCATAATCCTTTTTATACTTACTTACTTTATAATTAAACTGAAGCTGACTTCTTTTGGAACGATGTCTGTGAAGGAACTCGATTCGGATTTAAATCATAATTTTAGTGTGACATTCAAATCCCATTTATAGCAATGAAACGAGAAAAATACCTTTCCGTACTCTCTTAAATGTTCCATTCGAATGTCAAGACAAGATTGTCGAATTCTTCATTCCTCATTTACCGATAACTGTGTTATCACGAATTCGCTTCGGAACAGAATAGCCGAGCTTATACTTTTTCTTCATGTTTTGATTCAGAATCAAGGTGGTAAATTCAAGTCTAGTCCATAGTGTTAGAATGACACACCAAAATCTTTCTTTACTTCCTTAAATACTTCATTCGAGTGTCGTAATTCAATTTGTTTTTATTGCTTTACTAGCGAATGCGGCACTTTTTGTACAGTATAATAAGTTCCTCGAAATCCAAAATTTCGCATAAAACTTGTCTCACCATGCCTACCACCTGTTCAAAAAGTACTCGGATTTCGTAAATAAAACACACAAATTTAAATTTTATTCCAAATTTATTTTATCTCCTTCAAAATATGCTCTTTCTAACGCGATACACATATGCCAACGCTTAACCCAATCTTCCATACACTTTTCGTAGGCCCGTGAAGGTATGACTTCTAGTTCGTTCAGCGAATTCTCTTTTACCGATTCAATCGACTCAAAACGCTTACCACGAAGGGGCAATTGAGTTTCGGGAACAGGAAAAAGTCGCACGGATCCAGATCTGGCAAATATGGTGCCTGAGCGATGACAGTGTTGCCGTGTTTGGTCAAAAAATCGCGTACAACAAGAATTTTCCATAGTAAAAATCGCTAAATGCACTTGAGGTAGTTCCACATTAACTGCTGCTGTAAACAAACTAATTGACAGATGACGCTCAAATTTGTACCATATGTCAAGGAAGGGTGTACCAACATAACAAAAAATTTTTGAAAAAGTCTATTACTTAAGGAGTAGTTAACAAACAACATACCGGACACATTTTGAGCAGAAGGTATTGCAAATTTTCATACTTCTGATGAATGTTTCTCAGTCGATAGACAATCTTCCAAAAAATATGGTCTGTATTTGTACTACAATTTCAAGATTTTAGGTAATGTATAAAAATTTTGGATGAACTAAGCGTGTATTGTATTCAAGGCTTTCACAGCTTTATACTTTATTCTAACGAATTCAGTGAAATCATTGCCACCGACCCACAAAGAATAATCACAAAAACAAAAACAAATGAATTAAGCGAAAGGACGAAGTGAAGTTCAGTACACAGTGTCCCAAATTACAGCTATCCTGTTTCGTATGCAAAGGATGTGCCTCAGAAACAAAACAATTTGCAGTGAAAGCGAATTTTCGGTTGCAGTTTGCAA